AACAGTATAAATGCTGTTCGTGACAATGTTTTTAACAGTGAGTGCTTGACTAAAGAGAGTTATGGTACTCAGGTTACAGATACTGGAGCAACATAACAGGTGCAGATAGAATTGGGGAAGAGATCAGAATTTCACTACTAATTGCACAAGTATAACCCCACTGGAGTAACTGTATACCATGTAGCTTCACCCCAATTTTGATGGAGAACATCCACAGGGAGGGAACTGAAGGTCTTCCACCCCTCTTTCTCTACCACCACACTACTTCAAAGGGCATTCTACTTGCCATTATTATGCTTGCACACTGCACAGATACTAACATCCATATCTTCTCTGGGATTTGATACTAGAACCAATGATAAAGCAGTTAGCATCACTGATGACATTACTAACAGAAATGTTGTTTTGTGACTTATTTTACTTCTCTGACAGCAACATCATCAAATGAAATTCATTCCATGAAATTCATTGTGGCAAGGAGTGCAAGATTGAATCTGTCATCAAGAGCCTAGAGCACCATATTACGTGACAATATGACTTTGCTCATTTCTATCCTGTTTTGATTTAGAGCACCCTAGGGGGATGGATCTGAGGATCTCCCACCCCTCTTATCCTACCACCAACTTCTCGAGAAGACTTTTGACTCGATGCATATTTAGAGTGCCCCACACCACACAGACGCTAAACATTTACAAACATCCGTGTCTTCTATGGGTTTCGAACATGGGCCCTTTGGAATAGCAGTCAGCATCACTAACCACTACCCCAGTTGGGCAGTACTAACAGAATTCATAGGCTGAAAACATTTACACATAGGGAAAGCTTAACAGAAGATTAAGTTGAAAACAGCTCAACAATATAATAATATGAACATAGTGTAATTAACACCTGCAAAAATGGTTGAGTGTGGCAGCTAAAAGAACTGCATGATGAAGTACTTTATGCTCCAGATGCTTTTTGAAACTGGTTTTAAATCAACCTTTAACATCTCAGTTCCAAATTAAGAATGTCAAGTTAGGTGTTAAATCTACAGATGTTGTTGCTATCAGAATACATAATGGCAATGTCTTTAAACTGTTATGCAAAGCAGTACTGTCTACGACAAACAATGTGCCTAATATTATCACAGGGTTCTCTGCTCAAATTAATTGAATTCTCTTCTACTCTGACATGAGAGATTAGGAAATTTGGTTAAACAGCATGATAAAATTTTTCCTTCTTCCAAGGAACAGAATTAAAACCTGATAGTCAATATGGTCAAGCATTTGTGCTGACCACACAGCACAGGTTACTATTTCAAAGGCACCAACAGTATGTGAAAGATTTTGACAAGCTTATACACATAAATGTTAATGAACCAATGGAGAAGGAATGCCTACATGCTTCTCTTTAACTTGGTTTGTTTCACAGATGACTGACTATTCTAAACCCAGAAAAGCATTATTTCTGAAACGTAAGTCAGAAGTTGCAGCTACATTTGAAGAATTCTGTGTTTTCATCATGAATCAGACATAAAAGATAATTAAAGCAGATTTAAATATGAGGACTGAAAAAACAGTTTTCAAGATACTTCTAAAAATAATACCCATTTCTTTTACAAGATTTCAGTACAGTACTCCTCACACACCGTTATAAAATGGATCAGCAGAATGAACCAACAGGACACTTGCAGATTTAGGCAGATCAATCGTGTCTGCTAAATATCTATGTACGTGACTGTGGGCTGAATGCACTTGTGCACATACTGAAGCATGCTAGATTATCAACAGTTGAGGGAAAATCACCCTACAAATTATTTTGTGGTAAAACACCAAGATTTGATCATCTGAGAATCATTGGCATGGTGTGTTTTGTATGTGTACCGAAGCATAAACTAATGAAGCCACAAAAGCATCCTAGTCGGATATTTAGATGATGCTGATTGTTATTGTCCACTAGAAGGATAGAAAGAGATTTTTTTTTTTTTTTACTTCAGAAATAAAAAAAGATACATTCAAAATGAAGTTCAAACCATGAACATATAGATAGATATACACCCAGCTTACTCCTATACATCCTGATTTCATGAAATAAAGATACCTTCTGCTTCTGTTTAACACCCCTCATTGCATGATTTGATCTAACATATATGTTCAGCTAATAACTGATTATAAATAATAATCTGCATTACAAAAAATTTAATTATTCCTATACATTTAATAAACTGGGAGATCATTAAATGAATATTTTTTACCAATAAGACTTGCATTAAGTTCAATAAGTATATGAAATGTCATGTACTTTTAATATAATTCACATAAACTATGGCCTGGAAATAAAGTTTCATTTGAAGACAGTAGAAAAGTAAGTGAAAAAACATAGTGATTATTCCACAAAATATACAAGTGAAGAATATGCTGTCATCTGTTACCTGTTTCAAAAATATTTATCTGGTAGAGAATCGCAAGGACATGCACATGCACCAGAAGATGACATATAATCACACATATAACAGAGTTATAAACAGCAGAACTTATGAACAAAGCTAATAAATCAAGACAAATAATACCAGTGGTTGTGAACACTGACAGATATATCAGGATCGTGGAAGAGAACTGAAGCAAAAGAATGCAGAAAACTATTCAAAATAATTTTTTCATAGATAAATCAGTGTCAAATAGGTATTCAGAAATTCCACTTCTTACCAAACAAAAGCCAGAAAACTGTTTTCAAAACAACTTCTGATTACACAAAACTAATTTGGTGGCTCTTTTTTAACTAGCAATGAAACCTTTGTCCACAACTTAAACAAACAAATGCAGTAACTAAAGGCATTGAAAATACAAGGCAATCAATCTTACACCTTATTACTCTCTAACAATTTAACACACAGCCTTCATTTGGAAGATCATGAGAATACTCTGCTAAGATGTACGATGTATCCTTGTTGATTTTAAGCAAAAAATTAATACTATAAAAAAAAATCATGAAACAAATTTCACTGAGCACCCGCAAGAGACATTAGGAAGTGTACATATGCTTCTCCACTATTTCATTCCATATGCTTGTAAAGGTTCAGATAATAGTATACTGACCCATTGATATCCTGTCAATCTCAAATGCCTTTCACCTTTAACTTCCAGAAATAAAAATACAGAGAAGAATTAAATGAATAAGTTAAGAAATGCCAGAACTGCAGAACGGCGGAAGAATTTTAATACAGTCAAAAGTTTTTAATCCGGATGTCCATAACCCGGAATGATCTATAATCGGGACTTCAAAGCTACAAACTTTCTGCGCATGCGTCAATGTATAATGCATTAACGCATGCGCATAATAACTTTATGCATGCGCATATGTGTCTGCGCATGCACATAATACATTTACACATGCACGTTTAATGTATAACGGACAGTATAAGCTAAAATTATCTAATTATCTATTTCAGTTAATGTTGCAGATTGCGTTGTTCCTTAATCTTTGAATTGGATCCGGCTTATTTTTTGCAGACTGTTAGAGCAATTTTATAAAAGTAAGCTTGAAAGTAAGCTTAATTATGTCAAAAAGAATTTCCGATTCTGGAGCTACCAAAGGATCTACAAAGCGAAAGCATGTTTCGATGTCTATCAAACAAAAAGTGGAGTTGATACAAAAAATGGATAAAGGCATATCCTTTGATTCTCTGACCATTCTGAAATATGTTTATCAATTTCACGCTGCTCTGCGGGGGAAGGGGACGACATGGCACGCAATGAACTGCAAATTGATCTGTCAGCACTATCCTTATCTTCAGGGCAGATAATTTTATTTTATTCGGCTTATAATTCCTTATTAAATGTAGTATTTCATCTCGATGTACTCAGTCTTTGATATGATTTAAATCAAATTCCTCGTCATTATAAATATCACGAATACACATCAAATAGTTTTCTGTTGCAATTTTCTAGTTTCGACTATGCGTAATGTATGCTTTACACATGCCCGCGTTGAAAGAAATGTTTAATAAAGTAAACAAATAAATATTAAGTTTTTTTTGTAAATTTTGATACCCTTTAGATCATAATTGCTCTTTATTTCATAAATTACGGTTTAATATTTTTAATTTTATAATTTCTGCATGCCATCTTACCAGATTTAAACTGATGATCTATTATCCGGAAAAACCGATAATCCAGAATTGCCGAAGTCCCGACGAGTCCGGATTAAAAACTTTTGACTGCATACTGCGCAAAGTGTTTCAACACACTTATCTTTTAGTGTAGCAGGTAAATTCACAACTTGCTAATCCACTCCATAATGTTTAAGACACCAGAAGAAACTTATTACAGTCACCTAGAAATGTCAAGTTTCGATGGCAGGAACTTCTATGTTTACAAATTCAAACTATTATGCCATAAAGCCTTCCTGAAGGAAATGCCTAAACTTCAGTAGAATTGTTTTCCAAAATATTCACATATAGAGATTTTATTGTGTGCTTACTAAAAGCACTAAGGCAATATAAATATTTTCTATAAATGTTTTAATTTCACCAGAAATTTCTAATCAGATTTTTGTTCTGAGTTCAGTATGATTTAAAGAAACAAAATTTAAATCAAACTAAAAAATATATCAATAGTCAAGCCTGTAATTAAAAAAATGATGGAAATGAATTTATAATTTAAATGCCAGGTTCCAATTAAAGTCCAGTTTCAGGTGTGCATAATTTCAACTGGAAATCTACTGATTTACAGACTTAAAGAAAGAAAAAAACAGTGGGTCATGGAATTTCAAGTTCTGAAATTAAATTGAAAATGCTGAACTCTTTAAATATAACATAAGTAAATAACTACAACTAAGATTTCTTTTTAAAAATAAAAATGCACAAAGCATAAACCAGAATGGATAGGGAAGTCTAAGCAGCTTAACAAAATGCAAAAGACTTCATGTATTTAGTGAAAGAGAATAATAATAATAATAACATAAAAAATGCACAAAAAGAATGTTGTGATATAAGTGTTGTCATTAATGGAAAGTTTTACAACCTGCGAGAAAGTGCATCTTCATCAGCTAATGATCTATCAGCTGCTGCTGCTCTTGATGCAACTTCACCACTAGGAACTGACTTTGCTTGTGCTAACTGATCCATAATGTCAAGACCATTTTCTTCAGCAACCTGCTGAATAAGACTGTCTACTTGTGCCAGTGGAGTAGATGTCGTGACTGCACTCCCCATTGCATCTTCAACAACCTGTTAAAAAGAATTTCCTATAAATAAACACGTTTACAATTTCTTTCAAATTAGTTAAAAATACATTAGCATTCAAAACTAAATATACATTAATGCTATAATGTAAACAGATCACTGCAGTAAAATTGAAAGCAAAAACTGAGGGCTGTGTGAACTCTGTTTTGGAGTACATTTTACTTGTATTCACTGATGGAGTCTGCCCACTAAAATTTCTGCTGTACGGACAGTTTCTTTGAAAGTTAGTAACCCTACCATAAACAGAAACATAAAACAGCTTGACGAAACATTAAAAAAGATCGCCAACTCATGGGAAATTTTTGCCAATGTCACTTTTGTCGTTTTTGATAGTGAAAGAGTAGTTGTCTAGTACTAGTTATATGAATAGTATCATAAAACTAGTTATTTATTTGTAATTAGAGAAGCATTTTACACTATTGAGAGAATTTGTAAGTGATGTTCATTTTTACAAAAAGTATTGAACCAGAGGTACTAAAACATGCCATCGAAGAATTGTGCAAATGTGCAGAGTCGAATACTATAAGTACACATGTACATGTCTGTGCAGCTGTGACTACGGAGGGGATATAAGCAAATGAGGGATTTTCGGGAATTTATGTGCTTGTGACAACTGCTTTTTCACAAGAGTTGGTAAATTTTATAAAGTATCAGTGGCAGACTGAAGACAGCCCAAGTGACTACAAAGCTCAATGTAATGCCCAGTGTCATGAAACTTGTGGAAACAGTTTCAGGGCACTGGATCCATATCACAAAATCTGGGCAAGGTCGACCAAGATCCACAATGACGAATGACGATCGTATTTGGCACTTTCAGCATGGTGATACAGGATTGCTACAGATTCATAGCTCTTATTTGAGCTGTATAATGCTACTGGAACCATAGTTTTATGGTCTACATTTGCCTGAAGGCTTCTTGAGACAGGGCTGCAAACCAGACGTGCTGTTTACATCCCACTCACTGCAGCACACAAGAAAGTACATTTAGCATGCTGCAGATAACATGAGCCTTGGACCAGACTCAGTGGAGCATCATGCTTTTTTACATATGAATCGAGGTTCAGTCTGGACAATGTTCTCGGCATTACCTGTATCTGGTGAGAGACTGGAAGAGGATATCTATCCTCAAGTCACCAAGGAAAACGATCATTATGGTGTTGAAGTAAGGGTTTAGCCAAGCATTAAGTTGGATGGCTGTATGAACACCCACTATGTGTTTGACAAAGGCTCCCTGACTGCTATGGGGTACAGAAAGTAGATCTTACAGCCTTATGTTCGACTTTTCAGAAATGCAGTTGCTCCTGGGCTACTGTTGATGGGTGATGATGCTTGCCCACACAAGGCTCAGCTAACTGATGGTTACCTGTAAAGTGAAGATATTTGCTATATGGAGTGGCCAGCCAGACCTCCTGACCTTAACCCTATACAGCATGTCTGAGATGCTTTTGGGAAGGGCATTTCAACTCACCATCCCACAGTTGAAAACTGCCTTGCTGCAAGAGTTTGACTGCCACAGGGAATCCTCAACTGCCTCCTGTTTAGTCTGCCATTGCATAGTGCTACCTGTCTGGCGGTGAGAAGAAAGCACACCCCATATTAGACTCGTTTTCAATTTGGGATATCAGAGAGTGCACTTTGAACATTCCCGAATTATGAGTTTTACTGGTACTCCTGCATAAAAATGACTTTTAAATGTTACATCTTCTTCTCAGTTACAAATGTATATTCAAACCATATTTCATAAAAATCTGTCTATTAGTTTTTCATAAATTCAATATAACGAGCAAATTCTCTTAATTTTGCATACAAGTGTACTTACTTTACATGACTTAGGTAAAAATATGAATTAAAGTTTTTTGTGCATTGAAAATAGTTTTAAAAATCAACCATTTCTATTTTTTACAAAAAAGCTGAGAATTTGATATTTGAAACTGCACTGCCCCAAATAGTCTTGACAAATGAATTTCTACAGTATATTTCCCTTTCAACAGTTCATTAATTTGTGCAAAAATAATACCTAATATCGATAAATCATGTATTTTATCATTTATGTTAAAAGAGTTTGCTAGTAAATATTTTCATTGCATTCACATTAAAGTAAGCACAAATCAGTTAAACTATATCATTAATGAACAAATAAACCAAAAGAAACTTGCTATGTGTGCAGACAAAAGGTAGAGAATAATATTTAGAACTTAACACTATATCTGCAAATTAAAGTTATTTTGTAGGGGCGAGAGGGCAAAACAAGATCTGCAGATATTTAATTAGTGAGTGAACTTTTTTTTTTTTTTTTTTTTTTTTAAGCTCAGGATGCATTTCAAATGCTCAAATATTTCAAAGATTCAAGAACTGGACCATTTTACATTTCATTATATGTATGATTTTTGATAACATTCAACAGCAGTCTGCTGGGAAACCACATTATGAACATAGGAGAACAAATTTAACACATTTTTTCAAAACTTCTGTACATGTTTTTAGCCTTGATATAAAATTGCATTTTTAAAACATTAAATTATATAACATAATTAAAATACTGAACAAATGTGAAAACTTCAAAAGCTAAAACATTATATTTTTGGATATCAGAAACTTATACAGAGTGTTAAAAACTGCATAATTGAATACCTCTCAAAGCATTGGCTATAGATTCATAGTTAAAAATTAAGGAAGGACTTAAATAAGTTTCTATACTAAGATAATTTTGGTTGTGATGAGTTTATTACATATATGTTATGAAATTTTAATATTACATAGGCTGATGGAGAAAACTTTCAATAAGCAGCATATTTTTCACAGTTAAAAAAAATCCTCACATAACTAATGGATTAAATTATCGAGGATTGTTTCTAACAATTGGCTATTGCTAATGAGAACTATGCATATTAAATTCCTGAATACAAATTTTAAAAATCTCCTTAAATTCAAATATGCATTAACAAACAAGTATAAGTCACAGTTGTTAAGAGTTCAAATTGAATGAAATACTACAATTTAAAATTGTATATGTAATGACATTAAAAACTTCAACAATACACTGTGGGTAAAACAGGTATAACTGGAGCAATTTTGCTAAAATGTTTTCAGGGTCAATTTTTTTATATCAGACTTCTTTTTCAGAACATTTCAGAATAATAAAGAACATGCCTTCTTCTGTGTACAGACCTTTTAAAAATTTCAAATTTTATATATTTTTACTAAAATGTGTTACAAGACCAATGTTACAGTGCTAAAGCCTGTCTTACCTGATTCAAGTCTTAAACTGAAACCAGTGGTCTACAACAAGACTGGAGGAGACAGAGAGTTGTGGAGTCTTTAACGACTCAGTATTGTAAGTTCATTATGGTAAATCATTATTATGCAATCCAAATCATACTTTTAGTAATGTCAACTGCTTTATAAAAGCAAGAAGAACCTTTCTTTAAGGATAATAAATAGCTAGAAACAATGCTTTCGGTTTTCATTTACAACAAAAAGTAGAAAACTGATGGAAAAAGTTCTGCTAAACTTACCCCTGTATTTAAAAGGAGTAACAAAACTGTTTTGAAAAAATCATGCATAATAAATACAATAAACATTCATTATTTTTTCAAATACTTTTACATGAATTTTACTCTAGTTTTCATCAACTGAACATAAATCTTAGGCTAGGATCTAAACTAGTGTCAATTTATCCATCATCCAGCAACATTTAATGTAAAAACAAGATATTTTTAATGTTATTCACGGAAAATAATAAAACAAATTTCTTCCATAAAACATCAAGCTGTTCCTAAAGAAAATCCTTCAAATCTAAAAACACTGAAACTTTTCCAAGATGACTACTTGAAGTTCCTATGATTTGTAGTTTCTGTGGGGATGGACACCTGACATAACAATAAGACAGCCAATCCTTAAATTTTTGACAGACGTCTAAATGGTTCAAGTTAAACTTATCAAATCTTAAGTGTGTTCAAAGGAGTCTTCAATGACATCAATGCATTTTTGTAAGCAAATTTTCCAAAGCTTAAATATGCTTCAAGAAAATCCTATTTCTTGGAATCAATGAAAAATATGTTTTTATAGCCTCATCAATCTCATTTCAAAATGAAAATGATGGCCAGATAAATTTTGTTTTAGATTAAAAAATAGCCAAAAGTAATAAGCACATAATAAAGAGAACAGGGTGGATGTTCTAGAACTTTAATGTGATTTTGTTTGAATTAACTATATGTCTTCTCTACTTGTAACATGATGACACTGCTCAGTCCTGTACTTTAGAAGAAAACACATACATTACTTCCGTCTTTTGTTGTTGTCTTTTCATCACTGTTGACTTGGCATCATCATCATCAAAGGATGATACATAACTTTGTCAAAGGACCATACTTTAGTTTCTTGACATGTTGGAGTATAAAAAAATGGTACATATTTTTTATCATAAATTCCACTTTTAGAATTAATATGGTATCAACAATCAATATGCAATTTTAAGGCTTTTTTAATTGATTCTGACATGCTCTATAACTTGGGTGGGGGAACCCAACAACAAACAAATTTTTTCATATATACATCTTCATGAATAATTTTGCTTATAGGTGTGAATCCAATGTAAAGTTCCTCTGTATTATTTAGTAGGTTATTGATTAACATTTTTCGTATGGCCAATACATTTTTTTGGGAAACTATAGCTGAAGAAGATCTTTCTGCATGTTCTTCATCCAGGAGACAAATTTCGACTTCAAACCACCAAATACTATAATACAAATTTCTTCAAACCACCTGAATACAGCAGCAAGAGTTGGAGCTTCATCTCCATGTCTAAATGTATACATTGAAGGCATTTTTCTTCATTCAGTCCCACTTTAAAATCATAGTATGATACTGTCCCCAGGTCAGCCCCATTTTCCATTCTTTCAAAATTTATTCTACAGTACAGAAATTTGTAACTATTGCCATAAATTATCATCTGCAGACATAAAAGAGGTCAAATTTACAGATATAACAAATAATTTTCTTTCTTCAGTGTATACTGTCTGCCCCCAATTAAAAAAAATTAGTTACCTACATAAGTATTATTGATTTCAAAACTGTTATTAAATTATGCTAGCAAAAATGCTTGTTAAACTGTCTTGGACTAAGGTACACATAACTAGTGGAATTATAAAGCTTTCAGGTTAAAGGTTCATACCATTCTATTCTTAAATATGTTTGAATCTTCTTAAAAATATTCAAAGGAGATTATATAATTTACTACAGTTAACTCCTGATTAACTCTGCTGAAATCTGTGATAATGTCCATGGTTAACTCAAAATCACAGTTAATCTGGGAGCACATATAACACAGGAAAGAAGAATAACATATACTATAAATAACAAAAAAGAAAAAAATAATAATGTTAACAATATATACGTATACTTTTAAGAAGCTTAATTTAGAGAATAATTTCAAATGGTTATGTGAATTTAATCAGTATTCCAACAAAGCTCTCTCTTGAGTGTCCACACATCATCATTCTCTTGGTTTCTTCCTATTCCTGTTAATATTTCTCACTTCACCATGCATGTACTGGTTCTTCGTTTTCCTTCTTACATTACTATGGTACTTCGATAGGAATCAATGTGAAACCATGTAAAAAAGTAGATGGGTGTATTTAATTTATTTTTTATTACAAGAGAATTTTTAATTTTCGATATTTTTTAATGGTGTTGATCATTTCTTTAAAGAAAAAGATAAATGAAATACAATACGGCATGAATGGACATACACTACAAAGTACGAGATCTGGATTTCGACTCACTGGAATAGTCATGTGATACATGATAGTAAGTAGTGATAGTGGTAATGGAAGCAAAAAATGATTCGCCAGGTTAGCACCAAACGTATAAGCTATCAGTAAATGCAAAAGTTTGGTAGTGCATTTTGGTTTGAAATGATTGGCTGTCTACTGAGGCAAATTATTGATCATACAGATTTATGCTAATAAACGATTGTTTCTCCAACATGGTGATATTTTTTACTTAGTGCTGAAATGAAAGCAAAGATTTGCTTCACATGGCTTTATTATGAAAGAATGTCTACCGTGCATTCGTAAAGCATTAAGCATGGGCTAAAGTGAGATGCAACTTTCAAACTCTAATTTTTTTTCTCCCTTTTGTAAAAGAAATTGCTAGTGGCCTGAATATTAGATCATTCCAGATACTGGATGCCCAGATTTTGGACTCTGGACAGTATATATTGTAAAATATGAATATTTTCTGATTATATTGTTCCTTTTCTATACTGCAGCAATGTCTTGTATTAGTGCCTATATTTATTGCTTTTAGGTTGATAATTTTGGGGTTTAATTTATATTTAATTAATGCCACATGCTTTACATTTAAGCCTTTATTTGCTACACGGAATTATATATTTTAATTCGAAACTTAAGAACACTGGAATTATAAAAATAGCTCAATTAGAACATGAGACAGGGAATTTTTCACCAACAAGGTAACTTTCAGGAAGATTTGCAAAACCACATCTTTGAAGCTCTACGACTGATTCTTTTAGATGTTTCCAGAGCAGATGCTACAGTGTATAAATACCTGTTGGAGAGCTAGGAAGTTCAGTTGAGAATTAGCTATGAGGTTTAGTGGTTAGCTGAATTAAGAGATAGGGTTCCCCCTTGACAGTTCTGAGGAATTTGACAATTTATTTTATATGCTAAGGAAGAACTGCTTTATATTCACGTTCTCAAGTTATTTCCAAAAAGAAGTTCCACATTCCTTAATATCCACATTCTCAAGTTATTTTAATGTAAGTTTATTATTATACTGTGCATGCTTTTTTCACAATGAAATGTTCATTCCTTGCTGCTTATATTGCTTGTTTTTGGTTTATTTTGATTTAAAGCAATTGAGGGCTATCTGCGCAAGGGAAGGGATGCCTTTGTAGAGGACTTTCTAAAGAAAATTGGCTTACGTACATGTTACACATGGGCAAAACCACAAAAATGCCCATGTAACCCACCCATTCACCACCTGCTTATCTGGACATATTATTTAAAGAAATATCAAAGATCCTGTAGCTGAGAACAATATGCGCTAAATATAATATGATTGAATGATACGAAGAATAAGAATAGAAAGAAGCACAAGTGTTTAAAATGAAATGTGAACTCACTGATGTACGGACATCTAGATCTTCAAACTGTTGTTCAAACTGTTCCATCACAGCAGAGACCTAAGAAATAATTATGTTCAGCAATATTTTAGATAGTAAAAAGGGTGAAAGTTGCATCAACACATTAAAAATTTACACTGCCAAACATAGAAGTATTTGTTTACTTTTTGAAGATCCATCGAATTAATAGCTTTGTCTAATGCTTTAACCACAGAGCCCATATTTTTAGTCACCTAACAGGAAAAATAAATAAATAAAATAACTACAACCATAAAAAATCTCAGCTACATCTACATACAAATAAAATAAAACAGATTTTCAATTACAAAGAAACCAAACTTACTTAAGAGATCTACAACATTCAGTAACAGAAGAACTTTCAATATTCAATTCAGTTCTGTTTCGAGTTGGGAAGACAGATGCCACGTAAGGGTCTAACTGATCCACAATTATGTTCAGACAGTCTGCAGCCTTCATGGTCTGTTCTATCAAAACTAAGGGTCCCACAGCAGACATGAGAACATCCCCCAAAGCATAATACTGCCACCACTAGCCTGTGTATATCCTGCTGTATGGGGAGGGGGGCAAATATTCACTAGGAAGATAGCATATCCTGACATGACTACTGACATGAACAAGAAATCATGAATCTTCCAACTAGGCAGCTGTCTTCCACTTACCTATGGTCCAGCCTCAATGCTCCCAGGCCCACTGTTAGACGGAGCTGACAAAGATGCTTGGTCAACAGAGGCACACGAGTGGGGTCGTTTGCTGCTTAGTCACATATCCAACAGTGTCCTCTGACCTGTATGTTCTGAAACACTGGACTTGCACTATATTGGGCTGTCAGCTAAGACACTGCCTGGTACCAATTTTGCTGTACCATGTGAGACAGTCTCCAACATCCTTTTTCTTTGATGATACATAAACATCAGACCTTGGTGTCTACTACTAGTTCCATGATCATTTACCCACTTTGCATAAATACTAACAATGGCAGATTGTGAAAACAACTTAAAAGTCATGTAGTTTTGAAGATATGATTCCTTACTTTTTCCAGCAGCAGTTAAATATCATTCTCACTTAATAACGTGCTCTCCACGTCATCCAGATGGATGAGTTCATTGAAAAATGAGAGGATGGTGGAAAATAATATTGGAAACAACCTCTAGTTTTAAAAAGATACATTACTCCTACTTCAGTTCTTTCCTTTATTTCAAATGATGTCTGCCTCCAGGATTTGGCATTTTGATATAATCATTGAAATAACTGCATAGCAATTCAACAGGTTTGAAACCTAAAGTTCCATCCACATCAAACATGTAATTATTTTTTCTCTTTTACTATGGAAATGCTGAGATTAAGATAATTAAGATTGTACATAGTATTAATTATTAAATTCAGGCACATAGTTAAATTATCTCACACATAATGAAAAAGCTAGCTGTAATCTTGAAAATTTATGTTTTCATGAATTTCCATAAGCATCCAGCTTTTAAAATAGTTATAGATATCACACTCAGCACTTTTTTACATTCGGAGTTTAGGAGCTTAACAGTCATCAAAATTTTATAATATATTATAACTGATACATGAGTTACATTAAAAAAAAATGGAACTTTGAGTCAAGTAAGAATATATTTTACTTAATTTCAAAATACACTGAGTGAACCATGTTTCCAAAAGCAAAAATACAGGATGGCAAAGAAAAGGACTTTCTAGTCAAAGAAATACAACTAAAGAAGTCTAATAGAAATTTGAAACATTAATATCATTTGATGATATTTTTTATATAAAATGTTCACTTAGCAATCATATAATACTAAACAATCAAAAATATGTTAAATCACTAAGTTAGGTAATATTAATAAACACATATAATAACCAATCATTTTAAAAAGTAGACAAATACCCCTTTCATTGTAATGGCACTCTGAATTTTTGAAGAAACAGCATCAATTTTAGATGACATACGCAAATAGTTTAAAGCTTCATTTTTTTTACGTATTGCGTTTTCAGCATATATTTTTGCTCCTTCCACATTTCCTTGCTTTATAGCCTGGAAAAGTACCAGAAAAAAGTTACTTTCAACCAAAAATAAAGAACCACTTAAAAAGCACATGTTCAAAAGAATTTCTTAGGGACAACTTCATAATCATACTATATTTAACACTTTTTATGTGATAGAAATAATGACAAACAAAAAGAAACTGAACTAGTTAAGAAACAGAATGCTCCAAAACCTTTTTTACTTGCATTATTTGGAATATCTTTTACAGCTAACAGATAAAAAAAGTTTAATTTATAAAACAGATTTAAAAAAAAAATATCAAAAGGTGGGCAGAACAGACTGAACGTTACCTTTCAGGAAACTCAAAAGAAAAATTCTTAAAACAGCATTTATTTCACAAGTACCAAAAGAAATACTCAGTTGTCTATAACTTCTATTTCATTTACAAATAACCAAATTAAATTATTAAAATAGTCGACCTCAGTTGGACTGGCCATGTTATCCGTATGATCGACAATAACATACTAAAAGAAATATTTTTGGCTAGATCAAGTAAGACAAGAAGAAGAGGTAGGCAGACTTCGATGGATAGCTGCTGTAGAGGAGGATTGTTTAGCCCAACTAAGAATCAGAGGAGTTTGGCTGCTAGCAGAGGTGGTTGGAAATGTCTAGTTCAGAAGGCTCTGGCCCACCCTTGGCTGTTGTGCCATGGATGATGAAATTAATTTACTACAACTAATCCTAATCAGTATAATCTTCATCAAAAGTTTTCCAAAGAAAACTAGCTCATATTACAGTCAAAAGTCGTTAATTCGGACACCCATAATTCGGAATGATCTATAATCCGGACCTCAAAGCTAAAAACTTTCTGCGCATACGCCGCATTGACACATGCGCATAGGCGTTTATGCATGCGCGTAAGACCTTTTACGACTGCGCATATGAGTGTGCGCAAGCGCAGAATAGTTTTCGCGTGCGCGTTTTATGTATAACGGACGGTATATAAGCTAAAATATCTAATTATCAATTTCAGTTAATGTTGATGATTGCGTTGTTCCTTAATTTTCGAATTGGATCCGGCTTATTATTTTTTGCAGACTGTAAGAGCAATACTATAAAAGTAAACTGAAATTCGATTATGTCAAATAGAATTTCCGATTCTGGAGCTCGCAAAGGATCATACAAAACGAAAGTATGTTTCGATGTTTCATCAAACAAAAAGTGGAATTGCTGCAAAAAATGGATAAAGACATGAAGAATGTGACAGAGAGGTTAGTGAAAACGAAAAAATTTCGATTGACAAGTTAGTCGGTATTCTCGGCACAGCAATTAACGGGACTTGAACAGCGGAATTTTGTAACTGAACAAGAAATTATGTCTGTTTATAGAATTAAAGAGAAAGTATTATCACATAAAACGAAGCAACTTACATTGAAAGAAATGTTTAATAAAGTAAACAAATAAATATTACGCTTTTTTTTTTGTAAATTTTGATACCCTTTAGATCATAATTGTTCTTTATTTCATAAATTACGGTTTATTTTTAATTTTAGAATTTCTGCATGCCATCTTACGAGATTTAAACTGATGATTTATAATCCGGAAAAATCGATAATCCGGAATCGCCGAAGTCCCGACGAGTCCAATTAACGACTTTTGACTGTATTATATAAATGAAATTATCATAAAAGTACCTGGGCAGCCAGCAAAGGTGCTTCCCCGATCATGTCCGAGAGCAATGAAACTGAAAGGCAACTTACCATTATTCAGTAGCTTCTTAGAAAACTCTCTAGAAAGCTCTTATTTAAGTAAAAAATAAGAGACTTATTTTAAATGGGAATTATGCTTATTTAACTGTATACAATAGTCAAATGATTTGGAAATGAATAGTTTTTCTGTTTTAGTTTGTAATCAGAGAAGAGTCGATGAAATCTGTCTTCAGTCTCTCCTTACCAGTGAATATAAACATAATTCCAGACAGTGTAGAAAATTTACAGATAAATAACAGAAAATGATGAAAATGCCTATCCTTTCCTGCCAGAACATAAGTTTTTACTAATTTTCTTAGTTTTCCTAGCCTAAGAGTTTATTTTCATATAATTCCAACTTTGCATTTCATTTTTTAGTTCCTTAAGTTTCAAAATATCTCAAACAATTATGAGACATAAAACATTGCTAATAATTTGATTTGATTATAACAAAACATATTAGAGTTATTTGCTTAAGAGAAATGATGCTTTTGTTTAAAACATTTTAAAGGTAATGGGCTTATATTCACATTATACTAAGGAAAACCATGAAAACCTAATGCAGCCAACCTGTTCAACTGCGAAGAACAGAGCCTACGGAAAATTACAGGTCTTTCAGAGCTTTAGACTTTCAACAAAACAATTATAAAATAAAACATGATTATGACAATAATTATGAGATTCCTGAAATGACTGCTTTAAGAATTCTTTGCATATTACTCAGTGTGCTGCAGTGGCACACAAGTCCATAATCACAAGTAATGTGTGACAACCAGTGATACACATTAGTTTGATCTTAAATACCGTAATAAGGAAATACATAATCAATATCAATTAATGGATAGTTGGGAAACACATGGTAACTATAATAAGGATAAATTTTGAAAAATATATGGCTGCTCTTTACGGTAATCTTGGTTTCTGTCTGAAAAAATCGCCAAGTGGTATTGGTTGTTTGTGAAATCTGGAAGCCAGCTGTGCGAAATGGGTTTTTTGGTAACCCTAATGTTAGCAAAACCAGATTACTCTCTGTTTGTGTATTTCTGGTTATTTGTTCCTCTCTGTGTGTTAAGACAGTGGCAAATTTTTTTCTCGTTAACATGATAGTTTTAACTTTGTTTTAGCTTCCTGATTTTGTTCAAATAGGTCAATGTGTACATGGACAAAGCTAAGGGCAATGCCTAGTTTGTGCAATTCTCTGATGTTTTTATAAGTTAAAATAGATCGATGTGTACATGGACAAAGAGTTTGTGTAAGTCTTTGACTTCTTGTTTTGGTTTTGTGTAGCGGGCAGAAGGATCGGCCCCATCTTGAAATTGGTGCCAATCATTTCTGGCACTGATCTTGGCATAAAAAAAAAAACAAAAAACAAAAAAAAAAAACAGACAATTCGCCAAGGGATACCGTAAATTTTAACCAAATATATTAAGTAATGAGCAATTTACAAAGAACACAGAGAATTTTTGAATTAATTAGACAGTTTAAAGGAAAATAATAACAACAGGGGGTTGGAGTTTAAAACATTATTTATTATTTTGCACATGAAAATTTCTTTTGAATATCTTGTTTATGAGTGAAACCTATAACAGCACAAAGTACTACTAGTTGTCTAGAATTATAAAACAAATACTTATAGTGCTTTTGTTCAAGAAAATTATACATTACATGCTGATGAAGCTGAAGATAATGTATGTAAAAAGAAAAAAAAAAAAAAAAACTCACAATTAACTTACCTTCTTAATTTTATTCCTTTGAATCATTTCATCTTTTTCTGCTCTTTTTGACAGTCGCTCTAGTTGTTTACAGCTAAACTGTAAAAGAGATACTCAGTCTTTATGGTTCAGTATGGATACATACACACATGTACATGTACAGTAATTTTTAAAAAAATATTGCACCACCTGGTAACAACTGGAAGAAACAGCTAAAAATTAATATATGTTTATACAGCATATTATTTGCCCAAATGATATCCATATCCAATTACTGTATGCAAAAACCTTACACTTTTAACTAGGGCTTTGAAATGTAACAGAATTAAATCAATTGACAGAGAATTAAAGTCACCATGTCATCATAAAAACCATTTTTTTCAGAACATAAAGTGTTCACATTATTAGAATAGCTGGAGGATGGATGCTAATTCAGTATAAAGTCTTTAATCCGGACGTCCATTATCTGGAATGATCTATAATCCAGACCTCAAAGCAACAAACTTACGCACACAAGTTTGATGCGCGCATCCGCTACACATGCGCATAAAGCCAGTAAAGCGTTTACTTCCGATAGTGAAGAGAGTAACAGAAAACGTTATTGAAAACGAAAAAATTTCGATTGACAAGTTAGTTGGTATTTTGGACACAGCAATTACAGGACTTGAACAGTGGAAATTTGTAACTGAACAAGAAATGTCTGTTTATAGAATTAAAGAGAAAGTATTAGCACAAAAAATGAAGCAATTTAAACAACTTACATTGATAGAAATGTTTACTAAAGTAAACAAATAAATATTAAGTTTTTTTTGTAAATTTTGATACCCTTTAGATCATAATTGCTCTTTATTTCATAAATTACGGTTTCATATTTTTATTTGTATAATTTCTGCATGCCAGCTTAGCAGATTTAAATTGATGATCTGACTTTGTACTGTATAACAATTAATGCTAGATATTAGCTTAAAATGCACAGGCTTATGGGCAATGCTTACGATAAAGACAAATAAAAGATTACACATAGATACATTTAGTAATATATAGGATGTCTCAAACAAATCATTGCATCTTACAACTGGCTAAGTAAGAAACAATTGCAACAGTCTAGTAGATTTTAAACGCTGTGAAGCCATTTTTGTTCTGCTTATAAATCAGCACTATCCTACCAGGGATATAACTAGAAGGGGGACATCTGTCCCAGGGTGCAGCATCCAGGAGGAGCCACACTGCTGTTATGAAATTTTAGCATTAAATATTTTCCATTCTTAGCAAATGGGGGAGGGGGTGGACCCAAAATCTTAAGCTGTCCATGGGCGCTGAAAACCCTAGCTACGACTCTGTATCTCACATGCAATATGCTGGTAAATTTAGGAATGGAACAGATGCTTAATGAACCTTTTCGTATTGATAAAAGCCAAAATCTGTTCCTCTCAAATATGCATACGAATTTCTATTGGTATGGATTTCCTTCCTCCTTGGCAAGTACAAAACTACGGCATTAATGATAACCTACTTAAGTGAAGTTACTTTTGGGGATCTTTGTGTATTTTCACCAACTGTGTGCAGTTTCCTCTTATGACAGAATTGCAAGTGCAAGCATCAATAGCTAAGTGTCCACGCTAAACAAAGGAGAGGAAAGGAGCATTTAAAAAAGACAGCTACTTTAGTCACTTCAAAAGAATGACTCGTGTGTCATTTAACAACTCTCAAAACCAGTCAGCCATGCACCAATGGGATAGAGGAAAGCACCAGGCAGAAAATGGAGGGAAGCACTCAGGTGACTTACCAATGCCTGAATGCATGGGTGATACAGGGAACTTCACTGCAAAAGGGTTAACTTGCACCAACTTTTACAGTAAACAACAAATCATACTACTGCAATCATAAATGTGCAGTTCATTTCCTTTAGTTATTATTAGCACTAGTTTGAGTATGATTAGATATATTCAAACTGCATAAATAACACAATCAAAAATAAGACAATTAAAAATTTCAGTTGAAAAAATTCCAATGAAGTGTCTAACACAATGAAAAGGACAAATTAATTTGATATCTGCAGTGCTTTTGTTGAACTGACAGAGATCATAACCACAACTCTGACAGCTAATACTGATCTCATCCCAAGGGAAAAGCATTACTACACGCACTGCATTTGTAAGCAGATATTCGTATTGCAAATTACTAAGATAATGCCTAAATCACAGTGAAATTTTAACTTTTTATCCCAGTTATTTCCAAATGCATGCAGCTTGAAAGAGCATTTGAGAATTATGTCATAAAAATAAACACAAAATATACATATTACAAAATGTATCTGGAAAATGAAAAAATACCACATAAATAGAAATTAAGAATGAAGTTATTAAAAAAAATTATCTTACCCGCAGCTGGAACAGGAGTTCTGCAATTAAAAAATGAAGTTTTTTATTATTTATTATACAATAAAACAAAAAATAAACTCTTAAGCATTATGAGTATAACAATAAAATTTTGGTTCTTACGAATTAACGCAATTCCATGAAAGTTACTTATTGGGTACAAGTTGGTGATTTTCGTTACTTTTTTTTTTTTTTTTAAGATTCCTAAACTACTGATATTTAATGTAAATCGAAAAACATTACCAATATACAGGGTGTTCCAGAATTCTTTCCCTGATTACAAATATTCATAAGATATAAAATCTGATACACAGACAAACACTATCTTGAATTGTGTGTGACATATTCAAATTTTTGTGTCCACAATTAATAAATTTCTATATGTGATTCTTTCGTTGCCTGAAGGATATCTAGGCGATGTTCCAGTTCCATCCATGTGTTGGTCAACATTACTTGAGGGATGGATGTTATGACTTCAGTAATTCTGCACCGTAATCTTGCAATGTCATTCACTGGTGTTTGGTAAACGTTGTTGTTGACATAACCTCAAAGGAAGAAATCCAGTGGTTTTATGTCCGGTGATCTCGGAGACCAATTTATGGGACCATCATGCACAATCCATCTTCCCAGAAATGTTATAAACAAATAGATATAGAAATTTAACCCCCAATGAGGTGGCGCACCATCTTGTTGGAAAATTAAGTCTGGAATGTCGTGAATCTATGGCACAGCAAATAACTGCAACATTATCAATATATGGCTGTGATCATCTTTTCACTGAAGAAAAAAGGTCCTATGATTTTATTGTGCATAAGACTGCACCACACATCCAGCTTAGGGCTGTCTCTGATAGTCTCAAACACAGTGTGGGGATTCTTGCACCCCCAGATTCTAGCACTGTGCCGGTTGACACCACCTTCCAAATGAAATGTGGCCTCATCCGAGAAAAGGACATGTTTCGAATAATCAACATCTTTCTCAATCTCGGAGAGCATGGCAACAGCAAAGTCATAACGAGTGCTTTAATTGAACAAACAAAGTAACACTATGTACGTACACCCAGGCCTGCGCCAAGCCTAATCGGCACCGTCATGCAAATGTCTAGCACGGGACTTTTATGTAGTGATGATATTAAAGGGACATTACTTATGGTTAACATTTAAAGTGAAGCATTATTAACATAATAATATGAAAAACTGAAAGAATTACATTTTATCTTTTATCTAAATATGCAAACATTTTGTGCTTTATTAAAACCCACACTCAAACATATTTATTGAAGAATTATACATACATTTATGTTATAAAAAGCCGCCTAACCGGTATAGAGGTTAGCGTTATTGACTGCCGTGCCGAAGAGCCCGGGTTCAAATCCCGGAGAAGACATGGATGTTTGTAAATGTAGTGTCCATGTGGCATGGAGGTATTCTAAATATGTGAGGTGAAAGTCCTCTCGAAAGTTTGGTGATACGGGAACAGGGGTGGGAGATGCTCGGACGTCTATCAAAATTGGGGGCAAAACTGAGCTAAATTGCACTGTCACCTGTAAGGTGCTCAAGGCTGTTACCAATGACCGGCATATCTCGTGCTCTTTGCAACGAGGAATTTTGTGGGCTTGGGCTGACTATAGATTAGAGAAGTGAGCATTAGTCAACAACAACAACATGTTGTAAAAACGTGTTGTTGTTGTTGCAACTGCAAGCAAAGCGAAATAATATACTAAACGCATTGAATACCAAATATATTGCTGAACACTATTTATTATCTTAAAATTAAAAACAAATTTATATACATATCTAATAGGTTTGCACTGAATAAATTGTTGTTCGCAGCATAGTTTACGACAAGGTTCAAACTGTGATTACAACAGTGCATGATTACAAGGCACAAAAAATGCTCTAGGGCTGATATCTAGGGGATATATCCAAAATTCTTTTCTGCACACTGCTATGTTGTTAACAACGGTATAGCGTAGTTTCAACTGGCAATACTACATTTCCTCCAAAAGTTTGCAATTCATGCATAAAATTTATACTATTTATATCGCTTTGATTTTTATCAATTAATGTTTTTGCAGTTTTTGTTGAGCTGGTCTTGGAAATATATGTAAACAAAAATACTTAATGCCAATGCGCATGTAAGGGTACATGGGGCGACATAGACACATTCCACAAATTGCTTAGTCCCTATTTTGTGTCTATTGTTGCAATTGGTGCAACATTTATCTTTTTTGTAATTTTTGTTTTGTTTTGGTGATTACTTGTTGTTATTGTTATTCCACATAAAAAAAAAAAAAGGTAAGTGCAGTTACATATTATGTTAAACTTAGGTTAGCTTTTTAATTCAGAAAAGTGACGATTTGAACATAATTACTTGAAAAATATAATTATACAGTTTTAAAGGTTCTTAGATGCATCAACTGGCATAGAATAAATATACTGAAGAAAAATCAGGACGGAAGTGATCATGAATGTTTAGCTCACATGATAATGATTCTCAGAAACTGATACAGATTCTGAAAACGAAAGTAAGAATGATATAAATTGCTTTATTGGAAAAAAAATATCGGGAACGATAAAAAAAAAAAAATGAAGATTTTGCCCAGGGAAAATGCACACAAAAATGAAAACAGAATGTGAAAAATATTTGTATGTGGAACACACAACACTCTGTACATAGTACTGCTAACATTTTTTGTTGCGTTTTTCTCGGTGTCTATAGTGCTAATAAAGAAAATAAAGAATCGATGCTGCGTAAACAACAGAGCTAATAAAAAAAATAAAGAATCAACAAAGAGATAAAGTATTTTAACATATAAATTTCTATTCCTTTAAGAAATTTTATTTAATAAAAGCATTTGCAGAAATTAAAAATTTTAATAAGCATATTTTTTTATGTTTGATCCTAAAATTTACTACTGGCACAGATGTAACACGTTTCCTGAAGATTTACAATTTTTTCTTCAAAAACCCTGAATTGGTCTTTTGGACCCAGTGCACGCGCTCATTTAACTCATGGGTTAACATAAAATGTAACTGCACTTACCTTTATTTTATGCAGAAAAACAGTAACAACAAGCAATCACAAAAAAGATAAATGTTGCACAAATTACTATGATTGCAAGAGAAGACACAAAATAAGGATTAAGCAATTTGTCAAATGCGTCTACCCTAACATAGGCATCGGCATCAAGTATTTTCACGTTGAAATAAGACAGAAGAGAACACCAGAGATGAACTCCTGCCCTAGTCATAACTTTTGGTCAAGTCAGACAGTGTGCTAGGAGGAAGGGGTGCTCAGACCTGGCAAGCTCGAGGTTGCCTTAACAAAGTTAAATGCTCCAACCCTTAGAGGCGATCCAAGACGCCGCTAACCTATCGGCCAAGCCAGCGAGCTAAGTCTAAGCTGAGACAATAGGAATACTCAGCAACTGACATTCCAAGTTCCTGTTCTGGAGGGATGGTAAAACGATCTGCCATCAACAGGGGCTGCAACCCCGGACAGCACTTAAACACTGTCAGATAGACCAGACCACAAATCTGGCCTGCTAACACTACGTCATGGTATACAGATGCTGGCTTTAGGCATCCACTGGAAACCTCAAGCAGTTTAAAGGTTCGTTGAATTTGCTAACTTCATCGACAGGGATATTTCATCCTGAACAACCATGACTATGTGACTGCATAGCTCCACCACAACCAACAGAACGGACAAGACAGTACCATATGGTCCCTGTCGAGCCTGAAACAGCCATCGCCAGAGACTGATTTTAAACACCCGTGGCCGAGACTGTCTAGGTACAAATCCTAATTCGCATAAAGTAGCTTCCCAGGTTTTTACCCAAGTTGACAACTGGAGGGAGATCAAATAAGACAAGATTTTTCCTGTCCATACAGGCAGTGAGATGAAATGCTTGGCGCTGTCGCGTTACAACCAACCTTGCACCTATTGTCGGCGTGGGCCTGTGTACACCAAAACTTGAATATGTTACACGGAATTCGCGATAGCAAGTATTTGTCTATGTGTCATATTTTGTGCCTTATGAATAATTTATAATCAGGTAAAGAATCCTGGTACACCTTGCAGATATATATATATATATACAGTCAAAAGTCGTTAATTCGGACTCGTCGGGATTTCCGTGATTCTGAATTATCAATTTTTCCGGATTATAGATCATCAGTTTAAATCTGGTAAGATGGCATGCAGAAATTATAAAATTAAAAATATTAAACCGTAATTAATGAAATAAGAACAATTATGATCTAAGGGTATCAAAATTTACAAAAAAAAAAAAAAAAAAAAAAAAAAAAGCTTCATATATTATTTGTTTTATTTATTAAACATTTCTTTCAATGTAAGATGTTTAAGTGGCTTTGTTTATGTAATAATACTTCTCTTTAATTCTATAAACAGACATAATTTCTTGTTTAGTTCCGCTGTTCAAGTCCTATAATTGGCTGTGTCGAGAATACCGACTAATTTGTCAATCGAAATTTTTCTTTCAATAACCTATGTGTCACTTTCTTCACTATCGAAGCAAATTATAATAACGAGGAATTTGTTTAAAATCAATCAAAACGAGTACATCGAGATCAAATACTACATTTAGTAAGGAATTATAAACCAAATAAATAAAAACATCTGCCTGAAGATAAGGAAGTGCTGACCCTCCCCCCCCCCCGCGCGAGCAGCGAAATGATAAACAGATTTCGGAATGGTTAGAGAAAGAAGGATATGCCTTATCCATTTTTTGCCAGCATTCCACATTTTATTTAATGGAACTTCGAAACATACTTTCGCTTTGTAGATCCTTTACATATTAGTAAATATATATCGGAAATTTATTTGACATAATCGAAAGTTCAGCTTAACTTTACAAAATTGCTCTAACAGTCTGCAAAAAATAATAAGCCGGATCCAATTCAAAGATTAAGGAACAACGCAATCTGCAACTTAACTGAATTAGATAATTTAGCTTAGCTTATACCGTCCGTTATATTTAAACGCGCATGCGTAAATG